TGCCTCTGTTTCACGTCGTCGTCAGTCGTAATATTGTCAATGGCCACAACACGATTGTCACATCGACGTAGTAAAGATGTTAAAAACTCTGGGGTTTGTAGTAGAAATTGATTCAGCGACATGTTATCTTGAGTCAATTGGTCTTTTCTGGTGAAAACGATTATCAAATATTGATAAAAATCGGCACCAAATAACATCTCATATTCGTGAATACAACGTTCGTGTTCTGCGGTGAATCGCTCGTTTACGTTGCATGTCAATACGATGGCATCGACCCCACTACCTTCTTTGTTGGCAAATTCTTTATATTTGTCGATTTCCATAGCTGCTTCTTTCGATGTCAGTCCATTTTTTTTAGATGTGTCATCGGTTAATATCATTGGCGGTGTGTCAATGACTAATATGTCTCTCCCGATTGTCTTTCCCCATGCAGTTTTCTGTGTTGTCGGTATTAGTGAACGACGGCTAGTGAAGCTATCTCGTTTAAGTAGAGTGTTGCCTGTGGCGCTTTTCCCACTTCCATTCATGCCTACCAGCACCAGGCACAGTGTGCTGTCATTTCCTTGATGAAACGGAACAGAACTCGTCATTCTACAATGTAATAGGTATAAAGTTATCGAGTTAATCATTAATAGACAAAAAATACTTGATTGTGGTGGGAAATTTGTTAAATTTTCTGATAGTAAAACGTTAGAAGTGTGACACTAGCGATCCCAAATATAAGCGTTGTCATATAGACGTAGATATTTGTGTAAAATGGTTTATATTGTGTATTAAGACACAACATGCATTTTTTTATCTACCGTATATATGGTTGGTACTACATTGCAATGTTGTCTACGTGTACACATCTGCACTAGATCGATGTTACGTCTATATCTTTATAATCCTGTGATTTTATAACTATCGCACGTACTCGACCACACGCAACATTCCTTATAAACACACTTATTACATATTCCTAGAGTTAGGTTTACATAAAGTTATGCCCGGGCCCTATCATGTGTCAGGCTCCTTTCACTGCGGTTGTTTCTTCATACCGTGTATGTTCACGAAGTGTCCAGTGAATGTTATGTTAAAGGAATGTACTGCACTATAGTGTACTAGTACTGGCACTGGGCCATACTGTACTGTACTCTACTACTCATTCGAATGGCAGCAGTGTTGACATAAAGTAATACTGTTAAAACAAGTAACCTGTAGAATGCTGTGTGGGTAATATTTTTATATGATGAGAAATCTATAGGATTGAATATACCTCTCAGGTGGCTTCACATGAGTTCAAGACTGCCTAACCGGTGCTTATACCAGGATTTAGTTACAGCTTCATGTTCCCAGTAATCGCAAGAAATTGACATGACAATAGAAATTCATGAAAGACTGGCACTCCCATGCAATTAACAGCGAGTTAAATTCTTAGGATTGAAACATATATTTTGAAGTCACTGATGTAGCAATGAATAACTTAAAGTTGACATAAAGACGAGGTAGTTTATGATTTAATCAGTGCTCAACT